ACAATTCTTGAGATTGACATGAAGAAGATAAAATGAATCATGAATTCCAATTCTGTTGGAATGGAATCATGAACTCCAATTCTGTTGGAATGGAATCATGAATTGCAATTCTGTTGGAATCTAAACTACAATTTGGTTTTGTTTTCACAGAATTTGATGCTTGAAGAACGGACCGCAAAATTGAAAGTGATTCTAAGCAACATTATTCTTTTAAAATGTAGTAGTGTCGTTGTTAGATTTTGATGTTTTCTTTCCGGTTTTGAAAGTTTTTTTAGTTTTATTCTTTAACAATAAATGTAATTCTTAACAATTGTTACCCGTATTCTATAAGAAATAATGTATTTTTTGTTTTTATTCTTCAATTAATTGTTCAAGAATTTGTTATTCTACGAGAAGTTTTTAAAGTTATGATCAATAAATAGGTTCAATAATATTTTTAAAATTAATAGAATCTATGATCCTTTAAAATAGAATCTATGATTAAAAGAATTATAATTCTGTCAGAATATCCGAATTAAAAGAATTATAATTCGTAAAATCGGATTTTTAAAATTAATAGAATCTATGATCCCTTAAAATATGCAATTTTCTTTTATTAAATCTATATTAATTGACTAAAATATCCTTGTAATTAAATTAGATGATATTTTTCAATTATATTTAATTCAATAATATATATTAATCACCTTCTTAAATAAGTAAAATTGATTGGCCCACATTTATGCATACAATAACACAATAATTACTTTGAATAGAATACCATATTTCTTGTATGGTAATACCTTATTTTCTGTATGGTTTGCTTTCATCCTACAGTATTTTGTTGATATTGTAGTGTAGTAACCTTTACTTTGATTTTGATCCTACTCTTATTAGGTGTGTACATACAACATGTAATATACATAGTATAGAAGCACATATTATACCCAACTGAGCGTGTCAGTGACAAAGATGAACACATGTTTTAAAGGATAATGAGAAAGTAGAGTTGTATAAGGAAAAATTACATAATCAACACTAACATCTCTAAAATGAAGTTATCTGCTTACATCGGCCGAAACTCGAGGCTGCTTATAATGAGTCCAGACATAGTTCCTTCATAACTTATCAGCTTCAAATTGATAGAAACACAATCATCTCGAAGCTTATTACTTGAGTTGAATTTCCACACATTAATCTCCCTCCATCCATCTTCTCTCTCAACTGGAACCCGATCAGTATCATTGACATTACATGGGCTTGGGGATCTAAAATAAACAATTCCCTTCTCTTTGTTTTGGCGTTGTTGGAGTAAATCTCGTACTATTACAGGGCAATGCAAGCCATGGCATTTTTTTGAAAGCTTGAACACAAGGTAACATGAGTATTTTGTATCTGCTGACAACCTTTGACTTTCAATCTTGCACTTGATATGAAACATTTGTTGTCGTTGAAGCTCAATCGCATTTTGGAATCTGAATATGTATATATGATATGTGTATTAAGTACTTCTTGGAGACATAACAAATAGAAAGCTATATCGATATAGGGACTTGGTAGTTTATCAAGATTGTGAGCAATTTTCAACTATTTAAGTAAGCAAAACAGAGGCCAAAGTAAACTTCTTTCATATAATGTACACATTGATATTCTTAATGGTTACAACAAGACAATGTAACTGAAAATAGTTATGAAAAAAACACAAACCTTGACTGGGTTGAGGGTATCGGATCAAAAAACTTCACATCAGACGATTGGTAAAGAGCATCCTTTGCTGAAAGCATATAATGCTTCTGTTTGTTCACATCGTTTAGCGAGAACAACTGTCATAAAAGTCAACATAATTTATCAGCATAATCTCAGGAAATATTTTTAATTTACGACTCATAAAAGATGATAGAAATTCAAAGGACCTTTTCACCTTTGTCATAGTTTTGTTGCACCTGGTCCATGTACAAGTCTGATTTCAATACTTGTTGTGCTTCCTTTAATTCCTTAATTTCTTCATGTTTCACCTATATAAAAATTGTGACACAATGTTAGATAGTGTAACCTAGAACATAAAAATGTGGTCGATGCATCTTTTTCTGTTTCAAAATTTATAAAATCTTGAATGGGAACTAATTAAAGAATATCTGAAAAAACTTGCATTATCAATGGCTCGAAACTCAATGCCTTCAATATGGATGACACGGCTTTCACAATAGCATCTTTGAAAACTCTCAAGTAGAAATTCAAAATCAGTATCTTCTTTGTGATTTAAGAATTGACACAATTCAATCATCATCCAATCATCTTCTCTCCATATGGCAAAATATGCATGTAAGGTTTCACTCCCCTTTTTGTACTTGAGGTTCACGTACATCCGTTTAACTTTTGATTTTGTTGGACCAGAAAATCTAAAGACAAGATAAACGCCATAATTGACATCCGGAGACAAAAATTGAGGTTTTATCTTTATTTGGATATTAAGATTCGAGATGTCTAACATCTCTGCTGCTTTATGAAACCTGCACATGTGAAAAAATATTATAGTCTAAATTTTTAATAGCCTTTAGGCCCCAATTCTTAGGGATTCTACCAATAGTTTTGTGATTAATGAAATGGTCATTAGTTTATGACTTAGGATGAGCTTACTTGTAAACAACCTAATCCCCACATCTATGGATCCAAATAATTAAGAACCTAAATGTCATAAAATACATTTTTTTTTGGTAACATTTGTCAAAAGCTTCTTAATAGCGAATTATAACTTGTATATATGGTGAGTTGTACAAGTTACATTTAACATTGGTGTATATAGGAGCACCCATAAAAAACCACATAGAGGGAAAGAGAGAGTAACCTAGATTGTGGAACATATCGCCGTTTACGTGACCAACGGTTTTTGTATGAAAAGTTTCTGGCTGATAACATTTCATTTCTTCCTCCATTTTTTCCAATTGAAAACCACTGTTATACAAAACAAACAAATCAAATCATTTTCTATTATGTATACAGGCATGTATAATTTTGGACTACCAGTTGAGATCAATGACATGAACCAATAAACATTAGTTTTTATAAGAGCTGGCATAGATTATTAGCTTTCATGATTAGTAATTGCCATTGATTTTGTGTAACTCCTTAGAATCCTAGAGTTGAATATTCTTTCAAATTAAATATATACTCACAGTAAGATATTTAATGAGAACATAGACAAACATAATCCAAAACTGTTTTTGTAATAAAAACAACTTTGTAAAGAACAAAACAAGCATGAAACTCAAAACATATGAAATAAAATGAGATGGAAAAATAAGATAATTATTACCACGTTGCCCTCTTGAACGAGGATTCCTTTCAAGAGCATATTGTAGATATCTTTTTTCTTTGACATAGAGTAGACGTCGGGGGTTTTTGACATCAGTATTATTTCTTTGTAGTCTTTAGGCAGTTTGGGCTCCCACATTTCATAATCTTCCTATATATAAATTATAACATTTGTAAATTTGTATTTAGGAAATTTGATTGTCATCATATGACATGTCAACAATTTTTTACTTCGAAAATTACAAATTAAAAATATACAGGAAAAAGTAGCTTTCAGTTAAAATCTTCTACTTATAGCTTACAAAATTATTTTACATTTCTTTAGAGAATTAAATATTATTCTGCCTAAAATATACATATTCCATGAAACCATATCATTGTTAGCTTGTATCATTGAAATTATAAGATAACCAGTTTTAAAACAATGAGAAGTACTTACTTGGAATTCCAATGCTTTCTTAAGTTGTATTAACACTTCACCTGCCGTTGGCCTTTCTTCTCTCTTGTCATGTAAGCATTGAAGGGCAATTCTCTGAAATTCACTCAAAGATTGTGGCACAGTTTGTTCCTTAATACCCTCAAACACCAACTCATCAAGTTTTCCTTCTCGATAATAGTCTTTAACCAACGAGGTTAACTCATTATCATGAGAGTAGTTGTTAGACGTTGAATACCCATACAAGATTTCAAATAAAACCAATCCAAATGAAAATATATCAGATTCTTTGGTTAAGGTACCCTTTACACGATACAACGGGTCAAGGTATTTAACTGGGCATGAACTATCACATATGTCAAACTCAACCTCGTTGTCCATTGAAGTTACAAGGGAAAGTCCAAGATTAGAAATTCGTGCTTTCCAATCATCACTTAATAGAATGCTAAAGCTTGTGATGCTCCTATGCACCACCAATTCGTGTGTTGTATCACCTCCATGAAGGAAATCCAACCTCGTTGCAACATCAATGCATATCTCAAGTCGTTTCTTCCATGTAAGATTTATGTCTTTTAAATACCTATCAAGACTTCCTTTAGATGCATTCTCATAAAGAATGATTCTTTCATCCATTTCGTTGCAATAGCCTACAAGACCGATGATATTCTTATGCTTATACCCGTGGAGAATCTTAAGCTCTGTGAAAAACTCATGTTCTATAAAATTATTATCCTCATTGTCCAACCGCTTTGCAACAATCATGGTACTTCCATTAGCATTTAAAACTTCTCCTTTGTATATCCCCCAACATTCTTCTTCTCCAAGGCTATTGCTGAAGTTTTCTGTTGCCAATTTTATGTCTTCAAGTGAAAATTTGAGGTTGTCCGTTTGGTTTTCCTATAAATCACGACACTCATCATCAATCGATCCAACTTAATAATCAAAATTAAATTAGAATTCTTCTTTAAAATTTCTTTAAATCAGTAATCATCAATTTAGATTCTCGGTCCCAAATTTCATGCAAATATTTTGATGTGTTTCTAGACTACTTGCTACTACGTACGATCAAGAATATAAAGTGAAGTAATATGATAATTTAAAATATGAACTTACTTGAAAAGATAATGCTTTCTTAAGTTCCTCGATGACGACTTCCATTGTTGGACGTTCAGCTTGAGTTTCTGCCAAACACTTGTATGCAATTTCTGAAAATGTGGCTAAAGAATCTTCATTGAGTCCTCTATTTTGAGTAAAAAATATTTCATCACTTTCTTCCGTCAGGTTGGGATCTCTCATTTCCTTAAGTGTTCCTTCCTGGAAGCGTCGTCGTGCGATGGGTCCCAGTCCTTTTACATCCTCCTCCAAATAAATTGGATCATATGCCACCCTTCCACACAAGATCTCAAATAAAACTACACCCAAATAATACACATCTGTTTCCTTTTTGAACTTACCTGTCTTCAAATATTCTGGATCCAAGTACACTTCTGTACCAGCAACATTGATGCTATTGAGAGTACTTGCTTGGTGATTCAAAGGGTGGAATTTGGAGAGCCCAAAGTCAGCAATCTTTGCCTCCCAATTCTCATCTAAAAGTATGTTGGCGCTCTTTATATCCCGGTGTATTATCTTTTGTTTGTCCTCCGTGCTACTGTGAAGGTACTCCAATCCATGTGCAATATCAATGCATATTCTTATACGTTGCAACCAGGTAAGGTTAGTCATGTTATTGATGCTTCCTAAGTAATCATCGAGGCTTCCATTAGAAACATACTCATAGACAAGGGTCTGTTGGGGACCTTCATCACAAAATCCCAAAAGAGAGACTATGTTGCGATTCTTACAACTACTAAGCATTTCAATTTCAGCAATGAACCCATCTTCACCCTGCTTGTCTGCTCTACTAAAGATGCGCTTTATAGCTACAGTTTTATCCTTATTAGGAAATTCACCCTCATTCTTCTCTTCTATTTTCGAATAACTTTTCCCATCAAATTGAAGCCTCGCTTTGTACACTTTGCCATATCCTCCCGAACCGATGCAAAATTTTTCAGAAAATTCCTCTGTGGCAAACTCTAAATCACTTAGTTTAATCTTCAAGTGTTCAAAATCATTCCCCTGCAACATTATGTGTCAAGTGAAAGGAAGAGGGTTATTAGTTGTATAATAGAACTCCATATCTTTAACCCACACATATTAATGATTTCTTCAACATATACATGCATGGTAGGAAGAAATAAAACTAAAATAAACTAACTAACATTCTGGCATTTGTAATTTGTTGATTGCTTCTTATAATAGTAAGAAACTAAAAATAGCATCAAAGAATAATTGTAAATCCATTTGACTTTTACTCTTAGTATTTTCCTTCATGTTTGAAGGAGGAAAACAATAGTTAAAATAAATTTAGCAACTTTTACTCTTTAGCCTCTATATTTGAAGGAAAAAACCAAGAGAAAGTTTTTTCATACTAACCCAATAATTACACCCTTAGGATTTTGCATATATGGAAGTCTTTATTTATATGAGAATGACATCAAAGGTTTATTTAGGAAATGTGGGATTAATGCAATACCATCATATGCAAAATGAGGTTGTATACTCTCTATACACCAATCCCACAACGTCATAGATAGAAATATGGATCTTAATCATATCATCATACTACACTATAAATGATGTATTTTTTCTATAAATCATATATATTTGAAACCTCCATTACATTTCAGTTTCAATTTAATATAATTAATTTATTAATTTAAAATATGTTATTAAATACAAAAATATTATCGTATTAATGGTAGACTTTAGAAAGGACTATTATGACACTTATTTGTTATTTTAAATATTATGTTAAATCCAAAACATAAGTCAAAATATAAAATAAGTTTAATTTTTTTTATTCAAATACTATTTTTCAAAATAGTTAAAAAAAAGGTTTAAATATTGTAAATGTAAAACCACAAGTCAAACTAAATAAAAAAATTATATAAAAAAAACTTTTTGATTACAATTCATTTTTTTTCCAAATAAGTGGTTTTTAATTAATTAACATAAAAATTACACTGCGTTAACTTACAAACAAAGGTTCATATATCAATTAACCATAATGATGAAATTTAAAAAAAAAACAATAGATAAATAGTTTCTAAATTAATCAATCATAACGTTAAATTGTAATACTAAATCGAAAACCATGTTTAATAAATTTTATTGTATGATATGATTCTGATATATGTATATTTTATAATTTGTTCAAAATAATTACAAGTTCATATATCAGCTTAGTATAAATATTATTATTTTATTGTTAATGACTTATTATTTTCAACATGTATATGCAAAAAACTTAATTGTATAGTTTTATCCTGCGCAATACACAAATATTCGCTTAGTATGTTTTATAAAAGATGGAAAAGCATCATCATAGATAGCAATATTTGCTTCTTGGGCCTTTTCCAAGGCCTTGTCACATTTCCAACTAAAGAAATTTGAAGGCATTGTGGGCTCCTACCTAATGGTTACTCATTGGACCAGCCCCTCGTTTTGGTGATTACCAAGATGTTTGAAGAATGGAGAACCAATACTATGATACCGATCTATAAAAACAAATAGATGCCCAAGGTTGCAATAACTATAGAGATATTAAGTCATTTACACATATATCATTCTAAGAAACTATATGCGTGAGAGAGTTTGTGTAGCATTGTGGTTGTTTCATGAAATTAATTTGGTTTTATGTTAGAGAGGCCGATGATTGAATCAAACAAACTCCTTAAATTCCTTATCGAGAATGTAGAGAAAGAAATAGTAATATCTATATAGTGTTCATCGACTTAGAGAAGACAGACAACATAATATATGTAGAGACGGTTTGGAAAAACCTTGGAATCTAAAAGGATTAAAGGGAAATATATCGGGGCTATTTGAGATATGTATTATCTAACTACAGTTTGTTCTTGAATCCCTATGTGACACACATAGTCAATCTTGTTGGAAATTTGGGTTTATCGAGGTTGAGTTGTTAGTCCATATATCTTTGCTTTGATTTTTGAAGATATATTCTATGAGATTCAATGGTAAGTTGGCGTATATTAATTTCTTGATAACGTTTGTCAGTAAATGTCAGTAGGACTGAGTTAAATGCTAGTTTCGATGTCTTGAAGACATCATTGGGAGAAAAGTCTGTTATAGATCAACATTGTTAATACGTAGTGTCTTTGGTGCAATTTGAGTGAGATTGAAATGATGGAGTAAGTATAAGTATTATGGAGAAAGTTCTTCCCCTAAATGAGACCTTCAAGTACTTGGTGCCTATGATCCACAATAGAGGGGGATGATGTAGATGTTACAATCCCTTCTTGATCCCATTAGCCGATGAAGTTTACTGTTATTTTAACATCTAAATGTGAATCCAAATATGTCATTAATTGTTGAAGTATCAAAGCCAACTATATAGATTAATTGGTTTGAAGATAATTCGATGGATAGGATGCTACCACGTAAATCATGTCGAGGATTATTACAAAGAAAGAGGTTTTTTGTGGAACCCATGTTGCACCTTGAGAGGCAACATCGTGAAGGCCATGATAATCCTATTTATACACACTGAAGGGATTTGTTTCCTCCCCATTATGTCCTAGACATACAGCTTATATTCGAGTTCTTCGACAGTCGATTGGTTGTCAGAGCGTAGCTCACACACGTTGGAGTAGCCTCTAGATTTTCATACCTTGCCTCTCGATCTCAATATTCCGCCTCTTGATCTTGACCGCATGAATATCTATCCATTGTAGCTTGGAATTGATATCGAATGATGTTGAAATTATGGAGCCGAGTGACAAGTTGCAAGGATGAAAATAATACACATAAGAATAAAATCAATTCTTCAATAATTCTTAAAATTCTTGTAATTTTTTTTGCATAACTCAACCTTAATAAGCAGCCTATTTACATTAGCTTAACTCCTTAAGAAACCTAAAGGCATATTATAGTAGT